ATTAAAATAAGTACCCTAAAACAATTACTGTTGTTACATTTGTGAGCTGATTGGGGGTTTTGACAACCATTTTGGTGACTTTTTGGCAGCAAGTGTGAGTTTTCCTGTTCAATTAGACCTTCGGGAGTGCTCTCAAAATCCTATGGACTCGTCCGACTCCGTGCAGGAAGTGCTGATTGTACAAATTTTTGTACAAATTTTGTACAAATTTTGTACAAATTTTCATCCTTTCCCTTTTGATGTTGAAGTAGACTGAAATACTTCCTGCTTTTCCGAGATGTTCTTTTTCTTTCCACCTCTCCCCCATCCCAAATGATTATAGTATTTCCAAAAGCAAGGGGCTAGTTGTGGAAAATTAAGGAATAGGTTCCTGTTACAGGCTCACATGTCTAAGGATCCCAAATGGGAAACAAAAATGTTCCTTTAGTAAAAATCTGAATGTGTTGGTTAGTGGAGGCTGCAGAATTTAAATCGCCCTAGGCTGGACTAGAAGGCCTTTTCTTCCTCTGTATGCAATTGCAGCCAAGTAAGGGAAGCGTAAACAACTTTGACTCAAAGTTCATTAAAGCCATTTAATTATAGTCTGGAGCATTTGGGTTTATTCAGTAGAACCTCTGCAAGTTGACCACCCGAGGGACTGTAACAAACTGGTGAACATACTGAGGTGGTCAACATAAGGAACTAGGCCCACTGTACTGATACACACATGTGGTGCATGTCCAGTCTATGAAAATTAGGTCAACTTAGGGTGTGGTCAACGTAGGCAGGTGGTCAGCTAGGGAGCTTCTACTGTATTTCTATTTGATTTGAAATGGCATTATGAAATATTTTTCTGTTATGCCAAACTCAAGTTAGAAAAAGATAAAACAATATATGAACAGTTGTTTTCATGCAAATGTTTCTTTCTTAACACCGTAGAGATTTAAAAAATATTTTAACTTAGTGTGTTTAAGAAACTTAAATTTGTATTTTATTTCTAATGTTAAAATTTACTTAGCCTAATTTACTTCTTGCTTTATTTTGAGGTTCAGAGTGACTTTGTCATTATGGACATGTAACTTATGTTTACAATGAAAATCACTAAGTCATAAACACTTAGTATTATATTTACTTGTTCAGAGATTATGAGTCCCATAAAGGTAGATTGAAACTTCAAGAACAACTGGTACAAATGGCATTCTGTTCTTTTTGGATACTCTGTAACTTGATAGCTAGAAGAAAAGTAGCATGGGGGAAAATGCGGGGTTGATTGTTCCTTCTTTGTGTATAGCATGCTCCTTTGTTAGCTGGCTCAGCACTTCAGGATAAGGAAGATCAACTCTTTGGGGAGTATTGCCTCAACTAACAACTTCGAAACTACAGCTATACATTCTTGAAAACAGAATCTGACAGTGTCAGTCTTTCTCTTTTTTATTAGAACAGTTTAATCATCTTCTCCAAGTATGATTTAAAATAGGGGAGACATTTGAATATTTAACCAATTGACATAGATCTTGGAGTTACACATAGGGCTCAATAAAAGAAACCCAGGTATCAGCTTTCCTACTGTGGGATGACTTAGTTACATCCCTGAATGATCAAAAGCACTTGAATAAGTGAGGCAGCACTGGTAAAATAAAAAGCAAAGTTTGGGGACTCTACTGCTTGCATTGTCTGATAGGGAACCTGGAGTATTTGGGGTGATAACTACATTACTATGGTGTGAAGAATTCAGATCCAAGGCGACTGGATGAGAGGCAAGATCAGCAGCAGCCTGCATGATTTAAGCAGTGATGACTTTGCAGTGAGGTAATGTCCCAGATAAGAATGCGTATCACTGAGTAGTGTTAAGAGTCAACAACAATTTAAACAAAAATTCTTGGCTGTAACTATAGGATATTTTCCAGACAGCAACTTGCAGAATGGTTGGGTATCTTTCAAGATAAAAGATAACATGAGACATATCTGAGGCAATTATATGTGGGAAAATATTAAGTAGTTTTGAATGTTCTATAAATATTAAAAAAGCAATGTGATGGAAAGCAGTAGTCAAGAAAGGGGGTCTTAGATTGTGAGACAAATTGAATATTTGGAGTTAGATTTTTTTCTTTAATTATGGAAAACGTTGCTTTGAACTGAGAAAGGAGACTGAGTCTTTACAGATTAAAAAGTCTAAAAGTTTGCTTATTTTGCTCCTTTTGTATTTATCAAACACATTATAGTAATAACCACTAAAAAATTCTCCAACTCCTGTTCTCAAGTAATAAAAACAAATTTTAGACTAGCTCCAAATGTTAATATCACATTGATCCTTGAAACTCCCTGGCCTGGGCTTATTTGCCAGGGCACTTTCCTCTGATTAAAGACCACAGAAGAACATCCACGTCACATGATGCCTTTGATCTCGAAAGCCTACTCAGCATTTATTTCTGAATTCTCCTAGAGCCTAGTTTCCTGCAAGTACTTACTACATATTTTGTTGACTGAATAAATGACCTAGATGTGCAAGGAGATTCAAAGTCAGAAAAATGAAGGAGCTGGAAAGAGAACTCTAGATCTGGTTCTGTTTCTACACATTCAATTCAATTAAAAAAAGACTTATGCAACTCCTTGCATGTGCAAAGAACGCAGTAAGCATCAGGGTGCAAATGAAGAGTTCCGAAGATGAGATTGGTACAGTTTGGGAATATATACACATATAAAATGTAAACTTACAAGCACAGATATCAGCCAGCAGAGAAGAAAAGTTAGCATATTTACAAATGATCGTTGTATGTATAATTTTCGAAATTATTCGCCTAAGATCCTGTCTGTATTCTATGCCATCAGTGGCTTTGTCCTCAAGTTTGCATTTGGAGATGGTAGGCCTCCCGAAAACTTTCACATGCTAATGACTGTAATTAAGGTAGAAGGGCCTTATTTAAATAGTAATTAGCCTTCAGGACTTGAAGTGTAAACAGAACTCTAATTCATTAAGATAGTTAATTGGTCTTCCGGGTTAGAGATCTTAGCCTGGCCTTTCTCTCTAGTATCCTGTATTTTTGTAACCAGTATAGATAGTGTGTTGACTCAGTGGGATGAAGTTTTGCAAGCTCTTGTTTCGCTTCCAGAAATTTAGCTTAATTCTCTAGAAAAGACTAATACAAATGAATTTCTAAACATTTTGAAAACACCAAGCAAAATTCTATGGCAAAAATCATGAACATTTGACTTTTCTTCCTAATTATGGGAACTATATTATTCACGGTATTCCAGGGCAATTATTGATAGCGACCCCTTTCACATTCAGGGGTATTTTGATTTGAAGATAAATTATATGGTCACCCTAATCATAATCAAAGACGACAAAACATACAGTGATTGCTGAAACTACAGGTGTGGATAAGATTGGCAACGTTTTCCAGTGAACATTCGCCAAGGTCCTCTCTGCTTACTGCTATAAAGATAGTTAATGATGTATGTTATTAGGCTTAAAAAGTCATTTTTTATAAAAGACAACTACTCTACCAAGAATTTTATCATTTGCCAACTTTCTTGGTTTGCTAATCATTTTTGCTTAGAAAAATCACTATATTTGATAGCCACATATCTTTATATTCCATAGTTCTACAGATAATTTGAATGGCAGGTGGGTCTAGTGTGATTTTGCTTTATTTTTCCTTTAATTTTTTTTGTTGTTGGTAGTGTCTGAGTCTTGCAATATTGCCCAAGCTGGCAGGCTGGTCTTGAACTCCTGGCTTCAAAGATCCTCTCTCTTCTGCCTCCCAAATTGCTGGGATTATAGGTGAGCACCAAGGCCAAGCCTGCCCTACTTTCTTTAATATTTCTTGTGCTTGGGTGCTGTGGATCATCACACTCTCTACGACAGATGCTTGGGCTGCCTGCTAGCCATTTTCTAAAAACACGCAGCCTAACAGACCTGGGTAAGTAGTACAAGTTGCACAAATTCAACCAGTATCGGGTGAATGCCGCGGCTGACACATAGGAGGCATGCACAGATGTTTATTTAATGAATAAATAAGTACCACTGCCTTTGACTCGGCACTGAGTGCTACATCCTAGGTGGCAGGGAGGACAGAAAGCTCTTAGGATACCAAGTAGGCTCTACCCTCAGAGGGTTAACAGTCTCCCAGAGGAAGACGTAAGTAAATAACCATACTTGAAAGTCAGAATCATTAAGTGCCAAAGGAATCTCTAAGCAAAAGTGGGAGGTAGAGGTTGCTGATAAAGATAGAGCTGGAAAAAGAGGCAGACATTCGAATTTAGGTTTCCCAGCTCAGCGTTAACGCGGGCCCCAGGCTGAGTCCCGAGAATGTGGATACCCGCAACCCCCGTCAGGCGCTGAAATCGTGCACATGTTTTTGTTGTTGTTGTTGTTGTTTTGGCTGCCTAACAACTTTCCCCTCATGGTTAATGACTAATCCAAAGGAGCATTAGCTCACTCTGCAAATATGAAATTATAATATGGCAAAATATAACGCTAAAAGCTACCAATCTACTGTGATCAATAAAACAGAGTGACTTACATAGTTACTGCTTCGTCCCAAATACAAATGAAATAAAACTATTCTACTTTAAGGACCTTCAAATGCTGGCTTTATGGCAGAGCGATGTCGAGATACAAAGCATTTAAGATGAACAGGACGTGCAGACCCTACTTTCCTCCCCAGAGCACTGCTGCTCTCGCGGAGACAGGCTGTTCCGCCACCAGCAAGGCCAGGGCCTCTCCCGGGCCGCGGGGCTCCGCGGGGCTCCGCGGGGCTCTGCCGGGCGCAGCGCGGTCTGCAACCCGCCTCTGCAAAGGAAAGCTGGGCCCGGGCCGCGCCGGGTTGCGCCCGCCCGGGTAAAGAGAGAAAGTAACCGGAGTCGCCGGTTTCGGGACCCGCCCCCTCCCACGAGTTTCACCCAGGTCCCAGGTCCCGCCCCCTCTTTTATTCAGTTAGCGACGCCCGCAGCAGAAACTTTGTAACCCGAGCGCGCACGCTCTGCGCTCGTTCCTGCCAGGGCGGCCCGGGAGGGCGGCGCAGGAGGTGGGACCTGAGGCGGGAAGGCTCCGGGACGCCGGCGCACGCGGAGCGGGGACCGGGGAGAGCGCGCCGCCGAGAGGAGGAGCCGGTCGCGCGTCGGGAGAGCGGGGGAAGTGGTCCCCGGCAGCCAGGCTCCCGCGCCGAGCCCAGCCCAGAGGCTTTGGGGTCGCATCCCGCGTGCCTGCAGCTGCTGTCGCCCGGGAGCAGCAGCTGTGCCCGGAGGAAGGAGGAGGAACTGCAGCTGGACGGTGGCAGCTGGAGGAGCCGCACAGCTGTCCCGTGTGCCGGCGAGAGGGCCGCACTCCCCACGCGGAGCCGCGCTGGGGTGACCCGCTGACCGCGGCCATGCAGCCTTGACTGAGTCGCTCCGGAGCGCAGGGGACAGGCCGCGGGGCGCGCCCTCTCGGGAAGGGGCTCTGGGGCGCAGGCAGCGGCACTTCACCTCGGAAGCCCAGCGGGGAGCGAAGCCACTTACCATGGAACCCGTGACCAGGTGGACCCCCAAACAAGTGGTGGACTGGACTAGAGGTGAGGGGGGCCTTGGGGAGCCCCAGACTCCTCCAGCCCCCGGGAGGGACGGGCGGGGAGATGGGGAAGGGTGTGAAACCCTTCCTGCGGCCAGAGCCTCTAGAGCGCTGCGTGGCGACAATGCAAACTTATGTCGGGTGGCCTGTGCGCCCCATCTTTTGCCTGCTCCGAGCTTTTCCTTTCGGGGGTGCGGGTGTGGCAAGCCTAAGGGAGCCCGATCTTTAAACCGGGGTAAGGGTGACCTTTTCAGTGAAGGGTGAGGGCTGGGGATGCGGATCTCGGGACCCTGGGCGGGGGGCGCCCTCCCTGCCCTGCCCGGGTGCGGTGCCCGGCGACTTGGCCACCCCAGCGCGCCGGCACAAGGCGCCTTTGTGTGGGTGACTCTCGCCGGACCTCGTAAATGCCTCCTGCCCAGAGCAGTCCGCAGGCGTGACCGGGCGGTTGGACAGGTAAAGGGCGACTCGGGCGGTTCGCCGCTCCTGTCTGTTTTTGTTGGAGAAGGCAACAGGCCAGCACAACAGCCGAGCCAACACCGGGGCGTTTTTGCCAGCAAGAAGCGTCGGGCCAGGACTCCTGGGAGGCGCCAGTACCCCCGGTGGCGCTGGGTCTTCAGGCCGCATTTAAGCGCTGGGAAGGAGAAATCTATTTGGAACAACTGTTTTGATTCATACAGTATGTGGGATGAAGAGAGCAGCCAGGTGGGGAGAAATGGGCGGTTGAGCGGGGTAGCTTTGTCCTGGCTTTTTACTGTTTCCTAAGAGTTAGGGGCTACCCCGTCCTCTATATAGTCTTCCAAGATGACTCTAGAATCTACTAGAACAACCAATGGATTTTCCTGGGTTCCCCTAAACTCCACCCCCACCCCCCCCCGAATATCTCTGTTTCAAGTTACTATTCTTTTTTCTGTCTGCTCTTCCAGGTGAGGAATGATGTTCTTTCTCAATAATACTAGACTTGTATAGCGTTTACAGTTTGCTAAGAGCTCTCTCTCTGTTACTGCCCTTGGTCACCCACAGTAAGCCTGGGAGGTAGGTAATGCTGGTAAGATCAGGTCATCTTTCAAACCGTCCCACCCATGCCTGCAGCATAATGAAAACTGATCATCTCTGCATCTCATTTCTCTTGCCTGTGACTTACTCATGGCCCACGTGGAATGGGATGTCCTAGGTGGGTGGGATGTCAGTGGGTATGTTTGACTATTTCCTGCTGCTGTGGGATCAGGGAAAAGAGTAATACACTCTCCTTGAGAAGGGGGTTGTCAAGTGACCAGAAATTCCTGGACTCTTACATAAAAAGAAAGATGTAAGCCACAAATACTTGTGCATGGTTGACTAGGTTTGCCTGGGTAAAGAGTAAATAGCATTGCCAGTGCTTGGTAGAAAACATCAGCTATAAATGCCTTTGAAATGAGGTGTGTTCCCTCATTCAAAGTCCTAATAAATTCCCCAGGCTGACAGCTTGCTGAGAGTGAGTTCATGATCTCTTTCACCTGTATGTCCGTGAGAGGGGCTACTTGAGACGCTGATAATTTCAGCAACTCTTGACCTCTAGAGCCTCTCTGTTCAATAAGCGGGTAGCTCGTGGGCCTTTGCAGTGTGGCCAGTGACCTGCTGCAAGTGTCAGATACACATGGCATGTGAAGACTTGATATAAGAAAAAGAGTTTTGGGCATACTAGTTTAAATAAAACATACTACTAAAATTCAACTGATTATTTTTACCTTCTGAAATAAATATGGCTTCTAGAAAATTTAAAATTACACGTGGCTCACATTATATTTCTGTCCGTTATTACTGCCCTGGAGTAGGAAAAGGGTTACAGCTTATCACGGTGGCTTTCCTGCACCCTGCCTGCCTACTTGATAATGTACAACCAGAAAAGTGGTCGCAGGCACACAGAAACATCATGGAGTGAGATCTTCACACCCTCAAGATTTGTCTCTCTCTCTCTCTCTCTCTCTTTGTCCCTCTTGGGACTGGGAGAGGAGAAGTGTAAATTCACATCCTGTTTATTTGTTTAGCATTTAAAAGGAAGAGCAGATGAAAACATGATTTTGGTATCCAGTTGCCTTGATGTTATGACTTAGTTGAGATTGCTTTTGTCTAGGAAAAGTTTTCCACTGACCTGAAAAGGGACTGTGGCTGGCTCAGTACCTCGGATTAGCTTACATACCTGTGGCTAGCACTGGATAACTTTATTCGAAATGTTCCTGCCCTTTTGGACCCTGAAGTACAGCCCCATACAAAGACCTGTGCATTTTCTGTGTTAGAATCTAAAAATGATAAAGGAAGCAAGTGTATGGCTAACTCTTAGAGGCCAACAGGTGACCTTCTCCCAAATTGCAGGACTTCTTACTTGAATATTTCTCCTAGTAATGATGCACAGGTATTGACTTTTTAATAAACAATTGTCTTATGCAAACTTGTTTGCTTATAGGACTATTTTTAGTTGTCTTTGCAAATCTCTTTCCCTAACCTTTATTTTATAAATGCATCCTGCTGATAAGTGTAGACCAGGCGTCCTCAAACTACGGCCCGCAGGCCACATGCAGCCTGCCGAGGACATTTATCCAGCCTGCCGGGTGTATTTGCCACCCCTGCCTGTCCTGGGCCTGCAGTCCAGCCCTCTAACGGTCTGAGGGACAGTGAACTGGCCCCCTGTTTAAAAAGTTTGAGGCCCCCTGGTGTAGACTTTGCTACTCTTGGTATTGCCTGAATCTGTGGTGGGTGGTGACAACACTGTGGAAGGCCTTAAATTTAAAACTGTCTAAAACTGGCACTAGTCCACAGTTGGATCCCATGTCACTGTTATCCGACTATTAGACGGATACAGGCATTAGGAAAGAAATTGCTGTCTACAGACTGAACTAATCCATTTGAATTTTATCATTCATCTTTAGCTACTCTCTTACCATTTTTCTTCATACTACTAGTAGACCCTCAGTGAATATTAGCAGTGTATCAGGCACAGGTCTAAGCACAGTATAAACATCAACACATTGAATAAGCACAACCACCCTGTGTGTAGGGACTGTTATTTCCGTTTTGCACTTGAGGAAACTGAGTCACAGGCAGGTTAAGCACTTTCAGCAGTGTCACCCAGCGGAGGTGGAAGAGGAGCATTTGAGCCAAGGTGGTTTGGCTTCTCTCCACTCCATCTTCTTAGGAGCTGCTTCCCAAGGCCACACCTAGACCACACTGAGAATCTCAGTTCACCACATCTGTGAATAGATCTTCAGATGCTCATGATCTGCGTTATTAATACATGTTAGTGGAGGAAAGTTATGTGGTACCTATATGACTTCCGCATATTCAGCTCAGTTCAGAATGTTATTTGTAAATCAGATTAGTTCCTAGTTCGTGGCACCTTGCTAGTCAAACAGTTCAGTAAAGGTTTTTGCAAAGCAAATTATCTTTTATAACATGTAGGGTCAGCCGCACTTAACAGAAAGCTCGGTGGGTTAACCAGAGGGGAGGACCTTCTGGTGCTGTCAGGCTCCTCTCGTCTTACTCAGGTGCTCCTAGGACGTGGCTTAGGCTGTGCCTGTGCATGTGGTGTTCATCCCATACCTAAAGCCTTGGTGCAAGGTGGTTGCCTCACCCCAGTATTGCTTTTCAATTCCAGGCAGGAGGAGGCAGATTTACAGAAGGCAGAAGGCTGGTGGCAGCAAGTCTTCCCCTTTAAAGAGTTCTTTGAGGAATTCCACCGAAAGACATGGCTTATGTTCAGTTGCTGAAAGTGTCTCATGGTCACCTCATGCTGTAGGGGAGGCTGGTCCTTGCAGTTCATTTTGATTTTTTTTTTTTTTAAGTTGGGTACTTTGTCATCCTGAAGAAAATTCGACTTTGGTCAGTAAGGAAGAAGGCGAGAATAGATACTGGAGTGTGGGCAGTAGGGTCTGCCACACCCAGGAATTTACACGTGGGTTTTCATAGGTCAGTTTCCAAAGTAGAACATCTGTCACGATTTCCCACTTACCTCCACCCTTGTTTTAGAAGTAGTGTTACATTTTCATTCCTGTTAACTTTTCTCAGGTCAAAACCTTGACTCATATGAGGCCCTTTTCTCTAAACCTGATTGAAATATGAGTTTTATTGTCAGGTGCAGCTGCCATAAGTTGTGTTTCTGCCCTCGAGCTATAGGGGAGGGTATTCACCAAGGAGAGGACTGATTTGTCTTAGCAGGCCTGTCCTCCCCTTGGGCCTTTGGTCAGCCTGGAATGGGCAGCCTCCCACAAGTGTGTAGATGAGCGAGCATACCCATAAAACCTAGCTTTTGTCCTAGGACACAAGTCTCCCTGGATTTTGGTGCTGGTAGCATAGGTCCCGTTTTCCATCACCGACCGAAAGTAGAGGGCCTTTCCTGGCTTGACGTCTGAGCCAGGGACTCTGTTACCCAGCTGCAGGCGCTGCTCTTTCCCCCGTAATGTCTATTAGTATCTGGCATATCAGCTGTCTTAAGGTGCCTCACTTGTTGGGCATGGAGACGCTGGTATTTCCACATTAGCTGTAGGGATGTGGTACATTTTAGGTTGGCTGGAACCTATCACCTTGCTGTTAGGCCCATCCAGGAGGCTGTGCCTTTTGTGATCCTCATTCTAATTTAGGTTATAACTTTTCTTTTAGCCTCTGTGGTCCCTGGAAAGGAAGCTCCTTTTCTTTTAGCAGCTGTAGATCTATCATTTGGTCATAGGTCAAAAAACTCTGTTCCCCTCTCTCCCTGGTTCAGTTCTCTCTCCTGCCTTCCAGTGATAACATTCCCTTAATTACAAAAAACAGGAAAACGTTGATTGACGCACCGATGATGTGGTAGGTGCTGTCATGAGTGATTTAGGTCCCCCCGTTTAATTCCTGAAAACCCCATGACTAGCCCATTTTAAGGAAACTGAGGCAGAGAGGGAGGATTTGCTCAGGGCCTCATATTTGTGAGTGGTGGTCTTTTCAGGGTCGGGTGTCACCCCATGACTTGCACCTGGCAGTGGAGCTCAGAGGCTGAGAGCG